GCAGGCTAGAGGATTGGATGTTCTTCCGAGCACAATCTCTCGTTTCCGCAATGGAGGGGATGAACCCACCGCGGCATTACTAGAGAACGTCGTCTATCCAGAAGAAATTACTCACTGTGCAGCTGGTATAAAATGGTTCACCTACTTATGCCGAAGGAGAATGGCTCGGCATCAATCCCCAAATAAAAGTTCTGTTTTCCTGAGCCCGGAAAATGGCGCCGCCGAAGAACTCACAGAGCAACAAAAAGCTGAAAACCAAAGTGATATCTTTGTTGGGGACATTGAGCAAAGTGTGGTGATTGATGCATTTCATGATACTGTGAGGAGATATTTCAGAGGGCCACTGAAGCCTCCGTTTAATGTGGAAGCAAGGAGGGCTGCAGGTTTTGGACCAGACTGGTATGAGCCTTTAGCTTTTAGAGCTGATTGACTGCCACCGTTTTTGTTGCATTCTCAATAGCTAGCTGCTCATTTCTTCTTGCATTTCTTCTGGTTATAGGTTGGTTTGATTCAATTTTGATTTGATTCACATTTACTAGTTAAATTTAATTTGAATAAAAAATTGATTTGTTTTTTTTTTAAATATAAATTTACATACATGCCACAAGCTTCACCCTATTTCTTAATGCTTAATGCTTCAACTTCTTCATAAGTCTATGTTTAAATCTTAAAGTTTGCCCTAAAGGATTATGCTAACCACCTCCATTAATTGTTATGGCCTGAGCTCTACAAGCTTCTTCACCCTATTTCTGTCTTAGAGGCAAAATCCTAGCGTTTTCATGGGCTTAAGGTCATTTATAATTAGAATGGATTAAAAAGAAGTGGGAGGTTCTCCATGGAATCATGCAATTGTCCTCCAAATTTGTGGGCCAAATAACTGACCTTTTTTTCCTAATTTTCTGCCTCAAAACTAAACAACAAATTTATCAGTTATTACTACTGCAATTTATTCTTTCTATTAAATCTTCAGAAGGGTTTAGACATTCTATTACTTAGATATTGCCTTTGCTTTAAGGTTCATTGTTATCCACACAACTGGTTGTTATGGTATCTGCAACTTGTGAACATGAAAAAAACCTATGAAATGAATAATATAAATTGTAAATCATTCATGTAACATTTGGGAGTTGATCACTATAACTCCATGGTT